TGGTCGTGGTTGAGGTCCGGCAGAGAACACTGTGGATCGCGGGTCGCAGTTGACGAGGACGACGAGGACGACGAGGACGACGAGGACGACGAGGACGACAAGGACGACAAGGATGACAAGGAGGACGAGGAGGACGAGGAGGAGAGGAGGAGGAGGAGGAGGAGGACGAGGCAGGAGGCAGGAGGAGGCAACTGACATAAAATCTAACAACCCTCACCTGGCAGGTGGGGAATTAATTTAGTCTTTCTCAACCAAAAGGACTTTTGGCTTCAAGTAGGTGTTAACTTTTTTGAGGTAGGTGTTTGTTTTGTGCAAAGCACTGGCACCTCAGATTCTTGGTTTGTAAATTTAGAGTGTTGCGATGTCAAAGGAAAAGCAAGCACCACGTCAGAATATTTCACACTGAGGAGATTGGGTTAAATGTCAGAAGGAGATGCCAAAGCCAATGTCAGATGATATGTCAGAAAATGGCTGTCAATATGAGGAGAGGGTGGGGCTCACTGGAAGTGACATTTTTTTGTGAGAACGAAAGGAATGTTGATCTTTCAGAATCTTCCGTTGAGAAATTGATCATTGTTCACAGTTATGTTGCCTCTTGTGCGTGGAAGTGTCAGCATCACTATTTGCATGATTTGCACTGGTTTGCAGCCGCCTGTTCTTCGCTATATAATAATAATAGGTAGCAGCATCTTGCGCTATATATAATTAATAGTAGCAGCTTCTTGAGCGCTATATTATAATTAATTAATAGTAGCGCTTGAAGCGCTTTTAAACATTCTGTGTTCTCGCGCAGCTAATTTTCCAGAGACCTCGAAACCGCGTTTTTCATATCATAGCGATCTTGCTGCTATCAATTCAATGGCTTACCATCAAGTGTGGCTGCATGCAGAGCAGTGGAACCTGTTGCCTCTGTTCCTCCAGACCATTTCTATGTTGTCAGAGGAGGAAAAAAATTTCATGGCAGATTTTGGCATGGCACTGTTGAAAGAATGCTGCATTGCTGCGCGCAAGTTGACTGACAACTTCCAAGAGACGCTGGACCTGATGCGTGCCGAAGTTTTTGTGGCGACATTTCGTGGCGTCATCGTCCGTGGAAGTTCGACTCACATTCCAGTGGCCGTGCTCAGGGAGACTGAAGGTGACAAGAGACGCTTCCGAGATTTGATTGCAGCTCAATCGTATACGGTGCCTCGCTTGCAGCATTTGGCCAGCGATTTGAGACTGGCGTTACACTACATTGATGAGTGGGAGACAAACTGGCGTTGTTCCGAAGCTTTGGCTTCAGTCATGGAGCACGTCGAGGCCATACTGGACAACTTGCGGCTGAAGATCTTGGGATTGCTTCATGAACCGGAAGGAGAATATAACCCTGAGTTTGACTTTGACTTCAAATGAGGATGGAAAAAAATTAGAGGCATGCCGCTTTAGTGCCAGCTGTAGTGCCACCACGTTGCATGCAGAGGTCATTTTCTGAGACGGATCATTTCATTTTGGTTTGTTTCGAGTGCAAACGTTTTTCCATTCGGTGCAATCTGCAGCCGTTTTCAAAAAATGACGTTTGACAGCTCAACACGAGTCAGCGGACAAAAAAAAGCATGACGTAACTTAACATGATGTAGCAGATAATTAAATTCATGTGTGAGTGTTTTTGCGATAGTTTTTATAGGCTGACCATGATCATGATGGTGAGAATGCCGCTACCTTAGGCACTTTCCACTGAACTCTCTGCTGCAATGTCAGATACGCTGTCTGATGCACCAAGCTTGCCTCCTGATGTTGAATCTGAAGATGATAACAAAGACGCATCTGAAGCAAGATCCGTAAGTCTTCCCTCTGACGTTCAATCTGATGCTGAGCCTGGAAATCTTCAAAAGCATTGCAGCTGCCGATTGCAATGTTACCTGAAGTTTGATGAAGCAGAAATCGAACATCGACGTGCTGAAAATTTGAAGGATCAGCAGGTTCGACTCCAGAATTTATTTGGAAAGGTGAAATCTTTCGTGGATGCTTTATCTGTAAAGACTGCTCGCATAGATTGGCAAATGGGTGGCCAAAAAGTGTGCAGGCCCTTTTGGGAGTATTGCCACTCAGTAGGCCACAAACAAGTGGACGACATGGTGAAATTGGCTAAGCTTGGACATGCTGCTCTCCCTGAAAAAGGCGCCCGGATGCCCAAGGAGAAGCCTCGCATGGATGAGGCTGATGTTTGGTTCCTCAACTTATATACAGGTCTTGCAGAGCCGACACCAGTGGAAGATGGTGGCCATCGCCATGTGGAAGAACTTCCTGATGCAGATCAAGTGCATGAAGTTGTCCACGATGTTAGCCATCCACTATATTCAATGTCTGTTGGTGTTGGCAACCAGGGGGCATTGGTCCCGAAGCGTTTCCTCAATCAGGAGAATTTGGCTTCTTTGTGGCATGTCTACGAGCTGAACAAGTCGGATGAGCCACGTGTGTCCCGGGATACCTTCACCAAAGCTTTCAATCGACACTGGAAAAGGATTTTATGCTTCAAGGGTTATGGTCAAGGAGTACGATGTCAAGTTTGTGCTGATTTTGATGAGAGGCGTTCGCAGCTGACTTCAAAGAAGGAGCGCCAGGAGATTGACGAGTTGAAGCAGCAGCACCTCAACAGATGTGACATGGACCGATCTGTCAATGTCAGGGGCAACCGATTGTCAAAGCAGGATTCAAATTTTAAGATGGAGAACTCCTCGACTAGCTTCCTCAAGGTGTTGGTGGACGGGATGGACCAGGCAAAATTTCGATGTCCCAGAAACTTGAAAGCCAATGTAGCCTTCGCCAATGTCCAAAGGCCGGCCTTGCATCTCACTGGAGCTGTGGCAATTGGCCTCTGCGAGGTTTATTATATTCTTGCGCCTGACGCCAAGAAGGACAGCAACATGGTTGCAACTTGCTTGGCCCACCTTTTGGACAGATGCCAACTTGTTGTCGAAAATAGAGGACCAGATTATTGCTTGCCAAGACATCTCATCATTGGAGCGGACAATTGCACCAGGGAGACGAAGAATGCCTATTTGGCCCAATTCGGTGCCTTCCTTGTGGGAAGGGGTTTATTTGATTCAGCGGAGTTTCAGTTTATGGTCACTGGCCACACAAAGAATGAGCTGGATCAGCGCTTTTCAAGCGTTGCGACGATTTTGAACAAGGCTGGCACCCTGGAAACGCCATTGCAATTTGCCAACTACATGACGCACCATGTTAAGCCAGCAATGGCAACCGAGATGCAGGTGGAGGTCTTGGATGCTACTAGGGATTGGCAAGCTTTCTTTGAACATTTGAGCATGCACGTGCAAGGGCTCACAGCGACCCACCTTCAGCCTGATTCAAACCATGTTTGGCGCTTTGTCTTGCGACAGCAAATTGACCGTGCCCAAATGGTGGAGAACCACAACCCAAACTGGAAGGATTTTCCTGAAGACCCCAGGGATGTTGTGCTGATTCTCAAGCAGTGCCTTGGTTTTTTCCTGGTCTTCCCAGCCTTTGGGGATCTGAAGAGTCAGCACTCAAGCCTTTTAGCCTGGGATATTTGAAAGGACGCGCTCGACTTACCAGTCTCTTCGCTCTTCTTTTGTCAGTCTTTGAAGAAGAGGTCTCCTTGGATGACTTGAAAAGCTTCTGCCCGAAGTTATTCGATTCCGTCTCAGTCATTTGGGTTCAGCATATGCGGCAAAACAGCAAGGAAGATGAGGTCTTGTGCAACCTGAAGTTGAGCACGAGAGGATCCCTTAGAAAGGCAGCCAACCTCATCCAAATTGCCTTCATGGTCAGACGTCTGTTGGCTTCAGGAGGCACCGACTACACTACTTTCCTGCGAAAGTACAACCAGCAGTCTGTTGCGGCTCACCAACTTCGCGGTCGCAAGCAAACTGCACTGAAGCTCCTCTTCGAAAGCGCTCCCAAGGACTACTTGGATTTTTTTTTAAGTTATAGTGTTTGTGTGACACCACCCCTAACTTTGTCACTTCTCCAGGGAAAAATAGTAGATAAGTTTTTCTTTATGTGTACTATCCTTTTCTCGCTGTTCAGGACGTGCTGGATGAGATCCTCAACCATGTTGGAACTCTTGGATGGGAGAATTGTGCTTGGACTGAGGAGAATTTGGCTTCAAAACGTCTCTTCCCAGGACACGTTTTCCCAGCCAAGAACAGGAAGTGGCAACAGAGATTGAGAGTCAGCGACAGGTCCTTGAGAATTATGGTTCTCAGGATTCATTGGGAGCAGGAGCACCAGTCTTGTGAGAAGCGCAGCCAGAAGAAGCCGGATGACAGAGCTTGTGAGCTACTGGCTGAAAAAGCAGCTTGCCTCGTTTCCTTAGCAGATGAGTTTTGCTCTGAGCATCCCATCACCATGGAGACAGTCCAGAAGAAGATACTGGATGAGTGGTCCTCTGGATGCAAGCGCATTGACATGGAGCTGGCCGCGCAGTTACTGGAGAAGTCAGAATGATCACATCAACTGCCTTGCGTGGGCGTTGCACGACAATACCAACTCGGCTGCAATCATTTTCGCACCTACCTTTTCGTACCAGAAAGGAAAAACATTCCTGGAGGAAAATGCGTGCATGCAGCTGCTGGCACAAGGAGGGCACAACTTGGACCATCAGTTCAGCGTCTTATTTTCTGACAGATGCGATCAGAGAGACAGCCGACCTCTGCTTTACCCTGCTCGTTGGGCCTTCCCAGGTCATGTGGTTGACCTTGGAAAGACAAATGCCTTCTTTCAGTCGGAGCTTCGCAAGGCTGGGCGAACTGATCCTTGCAAGCAAATGGCCGCCAAGGACTTGAAGGAAATGGAAGACATGGCTGATGACAGCCTCCCAAGCACAACTTCAAGCAATCACATCTCTGGAGCAGCCAAGCATTGTCAGTTTGGCCGTCCTGCTGCAGAAGAGGTCTTTCGCAAGGCCTTCAACCAAGTTGACCTGGAGAAATTTCCAGCTGTGCTGATCGTGGACCTCTTCCCCCGAGTTGGTGATTTTGCAGGTGCTTTTTGCCGCCTCCGGACCCAATTGAATGCTGGGACCAGCTTGTTCTACATTGGTGTCGGAGAGAAGGCCAAAGAATTGGAATGGCTTCGCGCGACTTTGCTCGAAGAGTTGGTGGAGAAAGTGAAGCTGGAAGGCTTTCAAATTCCTGGTGCTCAGCCATTTCAGAAAGAAGTCAACCCAGACCTCCTGGATGCACTTCCCGCAATTCCAATTACCAATCTTCTTGTTGTGAAAGGTGAAGGTGAAGATCGAAGTCTGGTGCTGCCAAAGCACTTGATGCTGAAGTGGCGTTCTGATGAAGATTTCGGCGATGAATTTTCCAAGTGGCTTGACGCATTTTTGGAAAAGTATTCAGTGAGTGAAGATGCAGACAATTCTTCACCCAACAACAAGAGACAAAACAGTGAAGAAAAAACATCGGAGGCTGAACCGAGCCCAAAAAGGTGTCGAGTGGAGGAAGTGCCTGCAGAATGCTTGCTTCCTTGTGACAAAATTGCAGAGACGCTTCTATTTGAGACGAAGCTTGGAGGAAAAGATACCATTGGATTCCAGATCCGCACCAACCACCAGCTCTATTTGGTCAACCAGACCTCCCATGAGCTCAGTCTCAAAGCAATGTCGCCTTTGGTTGGATTTGGCAGGGGATCGTTCAAGTTGTTCAAGGAAGGTGACACACTACCTGAGAAAGCTTTGCTTTTTCACATTGCTTCCTCAGATGCCTTGGTTTGCCTCAACGGTGCTGTGCAGACAATTTCAGAAGTGCTATTCAACCAAAGAAAAATCAAGCCTGAGGCTACTGTCTGCTACCACAAGGCTACACCTTCTGGGCAAAAAACTGATGGCCAGACATTGTTTGACTTCAAGTTGACCCACAAAATTTGCTTTGTGCCGCCGACGAAACGAGATGGAGCAGATGAAGGAGCAGAAAAACCCGGCAAAGAAGAGACTATATCCTTCACCAACATCGCCTCACGCGAAACAGCTGGTACTTTTTGTGATTTGCAATGCGCAAGTCTGATTTGGCATGTGCGCTGGACAGTCAAGGGGCTGCAGCCGCTGAAGCCCATGATCCATTTAACCAAAAAGCTTTGCCTTGCTGCAGGTCAGTGCTGCAAACTCAATAAGCAATGACATTGCAGTTTGGACCACAGGTAGCATTGAAAATGCCTACGATTTTGATATGCAGATGGCTGCCCCAAATAGGTGACACTCGAAAACATTTTGTCCACACAACCTTGCTATCAATTTTTGCTTCTCGAAAGAAAGCACCATCTGACAGGACATTGCGTTGATGTCCCAATCTTGGGTCTTTTGCTTATCGACATAGTCGACATAGTGCACATCGTGGCCGACAAAAGGAACCAGCTTGAGAGTCATTCTTGCATCATTGTCAAGAGATTTTCAGACATGTGCTTTTATATGTATTGTTTCGCTTCAGTACTCACTCGACAGATGCGCTGGCTGTTGACAATCATGTGGAAGTTTCATAGTAACAGTAATAATAATAATAGCGCTCTTAGCGCTGACCACTTTATAATAGTAATAGCGCTCTTAGCGCTGACCACTTTATGCCAATGGGGTATGTCTGATCGTTGCTTTCTCATATTCAGCCACGAGCGACTGCAAGCCCAAACTTATTGTTATGTTTGGACTTTTGGATTTTATCGACAGAGAGTTTAAATCTCCAATGGCAAAACCAGTTTTCTGACATTCATCTGGCATCTCCTTCTCTGGCATTTAGTCTACAATCAATTCAATCTGACATATATTCTGCCATGATACCAGACTGAGACTGTAATACAAAAAGATTCTGAAGTGGTGCCAGTGCTTGGCACAAAACAAACACCTACCTCAAAAAAGTTAACACCTACTTGAAGCCAAAAGTCCTTCCAATTCATACTCCACTGAACTTTGAAAAACAGTTGATAGTTGACCCACTTTCTTAGATCCTCCATCTTTGAAACAGCCGAATTGTTTTATACATCCTTTTTTCCCCATTGGATCATGCTGGTCGTCACCCACTTCCTTCCACTGAGGCGCGTTTTTGTAAGGCCTCGGTGACAGCATTGGAACAGCTGAGTTCCTTCCGTCGCAGCTCCTCGAGCGCTTTGGCCTTCCTGTCACCAACGTGTGGATGTGGCATCTTGCCCCAGGGAAGCGACTATGATTGTCCATGGGCAAAACCTATATGCATATACTTTATATATCTTTATATATAAAGACATATTTTTAAGTTGTCAATTTTTGTAGAATAACTTATCCTAAGTCAGAGTGTGATGTTGGTGGTCCACGAGAAAAAAACAGATCATTGCTGAGGTCGCTTGAGGACGATTGTAGGTTTACCAACTGCATGAATCCCAGCCATGGACCCGTTGAACCTCACACCTTTGTACCAGCCTGCCTTGCATGGTCCGCAAAGGCGTTGCGATGAAAAGATTCCTGAGCTGTTCATGTGCTGCATGTGTTCCGGCAGCCTCCAATGCCTATATGTTCAGATTTTTCCCCTGCCAAGCGGCCAGTGGTAGCATCACGTTTTGGCTGATGGCAGAGGCCATGCCAATCAGCACAGCGCCCAGGCCCCCACAAGCATCCTGGAGGCATCGGAGACATATGGAGACATGAAGCGAATCAGTGCAGCAAGCTGTGGTTTCAAGATTTTGGAAGTCTCCAGCTCAGTTCGAAGGGTCTGAAGATGTCTGAAGGGCTCAAGTCCACTTAAAATGGTATTTAGATGTATGAAGCTCCCTGCAGCCGGCGCAAAACTGTGTCCAGAAAGGACCGAGATGCGACTGACATGGCTTCTTCGCAATCCTCAGGTGGAGGTCGAACTTGGGGGCTGAAGGGTCGGCCCAATATGGCCATACAAGTGATAAAAGGTGGTGCCGCTGAGGTATAAATTGGTTTACAACGATCATTAAGTATAGAATCTACCGTAAAGCCAGAAAGCTCGACCAACATTGGAGTAGTGAACCAACTTGGTGAACTATGGGGCACCGTGTACAATTCAAGCATCCAGAAATGGAAGTAACTTCAGCTATGACACTTTCCCCAGCTCAGGGTTCAGCTTGGAGGTTGAACAACGCTGCAGGCGGGATCCTCTCTGGTTGTGGCTGTCTTTGGGTGTTGAAGTGGCAGGAGTAATCACGAAAGTTGTTTTTTTGGCCTTTCAACAGGTTTCGGAGCTTCTTGAAGAGATCCTAAATCTTAACCATCCGCAAAATTTCAGCGCGTTCCCGCTGTCTGGCTTCTACGAAGTAATGGACTAAGATTTTCAGCTCTCTCTGGCTCATTAGATCCCCACCTGACACATGACTTGCCATTGGTGTTCTTTTTTGCAGCAATGCACTTCTTGACTTTGGCATGAGCCGAACATGAGAAATTACCCAAAAGAGGAACTAGTTCATCAGTGGCCAAAGGCCCATTGGGCATTCAGCTGTTGGTTGCAGATAATTTTCAGGATGGTATCCCCATATATCCCATGTTTTGCTCGTGGATATCCCCAAATACATTTTATCACATGTTATCACTGTTTCTTGGTAAATCATGTCAAATGGGCATGAGTCAAAATGATGGACCCTTTTAAACAAATGATAAAATAGTGCAAAAAGGATTTGATCTGATGTCCTAAAATGCTCTACTCGTGCGGGCTCTTGATTTTTAACAAAAAAAAGTGACGAATCTCCTACTCGTTGCATCTCTCCCTCCCCATTGGGCCATGGCTGGATAAATCCTCATGGTTGATCCATGGCGATCGATCATCCATTACCCTCTGGTTATTTAACAGTTTGCCATGGTATAAATGGCCCATTTATAGATGGTTGACCTATTAAAAGTGGTGATTTTCCATGGTTATGTTAAATAACAAGAGGGTATTAACTGCTTGGTGGTTTCAACTATCTTGAAAAATATGAGTTCGTCAATGGGAAGGATGACATCCCATATATGACATGGAAAATAACAATGTTTGAAACCACCAACCAGTTTTTATATGTTTTTATATGATTGCATCTGCATTAAATCACTAAAATATCAGCAGTATTCTCGGTAAAGTTCATGGTGAAATCCACATTCCTGGTATCACCACTTCGCCATTTAGTTGGATGAGTTTTCCAGCGAACTAAACCCCAGAAAATAAGGGAGTGTCTCATGGTTTTCCCATGGGTTTCCCATGGGTTTTCCCAGGATTTTCCAAGATTTTCACCGCCTTCCTGGTCCCCCGCCTGCATCAGCCAGTACGGCCACGACCGCCTTGGCTACTTCGGTGGTGTGCGCAATGGCCATGAGATGCTGCGCGCATTGGTCCATCTCAACGTCCAAGACCTGCCGTATGGTTGGCCTTTGGTGGAGAAACCATGGCGATTTCAGATTTGGATCTCTTGAACACTTGGGATTTAATATGATTTAATGGTACTTTGTTTCAGTATGTTTCAGTATCAAACATTGTCATCTGATGGGATTTCAGTGGGATACAAGAGGATTATAATGGGATGTACTACCATGTAGTTGGGAAACTCTGAGCTTAGCTGAACATGTGGTGGGAAAAACTGCTGAAACAGGGGTAGTATGGGATAGTTAAAGTCAACTGGGGGAGTACCTAGGCCAACTGGGCTGTAGTTCTTCATCGGCACTGGGGGTTGAATCATGTTGAATCAACTAGGGCAGCTTGAATCAATACAGGACATGCCCTTTTGGAATCTGATGATAGAACAATTGATGATTGAACCTGATAAGTATCCCATTATTGATAAATACTTAGATTTCTTCTGGCCGCTACCGTTCATGGTTTGCCAGAGAGGACACGAGAGCAGGAAACCGGAGACACCCAGGGTGAACTCAACAAAGAATGGGTTACGCCTACTGAACTTACATTTCAGTCTCCATGTGAAAGAACAGTACCAGTCCCTAGGGATCATCAGTCTTGGTATTGACCTCCCCATCACCTTCATTATCCACTGGCATCGTGAGTGGGGGTATCCAAGTTGCATCCCCCATTTTTTTTAACAACTGGAGCCCCAAACGTGATCGAGCAATAACGACTTGAAGCGGCACATGGGGGATAGTGGGGATGGCATTAGGCTTGACACCAGCCGGGCGGTTGGAACATTGAAAACTGGGGATTCCATGATAGCATCTTTCTACACACCGCAAACATGGCATTTCTCAACGAAGAAAGGGGATGCATACCAACCCTGGGTCAGGGTGCTGCTAACGTCATATTATCATGATGAGTCTATAATAGTCTATATCATTATCTGTCTCGCTCTCTGTGGGCATATGAAAAATCAAACAAAAAACTGCCACCTTGACAACGACAGCAGTTCCGCTTGACCATTGGCTTGTTGTCACTGCACAACTCCCATGAAACCCCAACTTAAACTGGAAGGGAACAAGCTTAACCAATAGACACATATATAAGGCAACTAAACAGTGCCCCAGCCACTCAGCACTTCAACGACCCATTTAAAACACCCAAACAAAACTCGGGATTTCATTGGGAATATTTCGGACATGCTGGTCAACCCTAGAAGCGGCTTCATGTCCAGTTGCCACACATGTCAAAATCCACATGTTTGCTGGCAAATTTCAATTTTTGTCGCTTTAGATCGGCTTGGTTTTTCAGGGTGAATCTGCAGGAAACAGGTTTTTTTCTCGATATGGGGTTAGTTTCCTGTAGCATTTCTCATTGGATTGGTTTGAGGGAAAATTTACAGGGAACCTTCATATCTCATGGAGGTTTCCAAAAAAAACATGGTCTCCTGTAGATTTTCTGTTGAACTTAAACCAGACCATTGAATTTCCCACAGAAATTCTGGGACGGCCTACCTTGCTCTCCAATCTGCTGCGGCCCGGGCCCAGCTCCTGGCCAGGAAATGGGTTGCGGATTGTTGGGGGTTCAGTGCTCCTAAATCCACATTGCTGAGGCCCATATTTCAGATATTTCAAGAAATTGAGCCAGGATTGGAGAGTTGAGGTTTCTCTTGGTATTCAATCAAGATGTCACCCGTCCAACTAACTAATCCAAAGCAGCCCTTTTTGGAATGCATTGCAGAGAGTTCACCAATATTTACATTAGCAGCAGTGCGACATGATCATATTCTTTCAAGTCCAGACCCAACAGCACCTTCTGAATCTCTATGCATTAGGCAACAATTTGGGTCTTTTTTGAAACAACTTGGGGACGCAGTTCAAGTGTGTTAGTTATAATTCGATATAATTCGGGCGTATTTAAAAAAATAATCAAGTGATCCCAAGGATATTCCAATAACTACTATCACAGTCAGTAGTATTGGCTTAATTAGAACTCCCATGTACCCCGGGTACCCCAGAAAAAAAAAACGTTCGCATTTCCAGGATGTTAGTTTGATGATGTTGTCCTTCATAATGTCCAGGTGTGTAACAGTTCAATCGCAACCTGCGGGTTGCGTTTTTTGTTCTCGATGAAACTAACATAGAGGTGGCAAAAGGAAGGTTCCCGTTCGGAAAAACATGAACACGACCTATAAGTTTCTGGTTGGTTTTCCACATCTGTTTAAAAAATTAGAGGTGGTAACTTCTGGTAATCAAAGATGGCAATGGAAAATCCTCCATCATTCAATCTTCCCATTAAAACCTTCGTTTATGGTGGACGTGGCCATGTTTGAATATCGAAGGGCAAATCCATTAATATCCTATATGATTATATATATTTATATATTATTTTTTATATAATCTTTTATTAAACATCATTATATAAATCAAGTTAAACATAGTTAAACCATATTAAAACACCATCAAACTACCATGTTCCATGGCAAATCACCCCAAGAAGTATCTGAAAAAAAGGTCTGCTTCGAGTTGCTGGGATCGGTCCAGGGTACATGGGCAATGCGGCATCACCTGGGAAGGGGCGACCCTTGGGCCACATGGGCCATGGGGATATGCGGGGTATCACCATCCCCATGACGGATCCATGGTGCTGGTATATATGCTAACATGACTGGGTATATTGATGGTAAATGTTACCATATATGGCATACATGGATCCTATGGGATCAAACATCTAAGGATTTATCAGACACAAAAAAAAAAATCCTGTAGACTGCGTAGTTGAACAGTGGTGTATCGATTCTCGGATCTCGAATCTCGGATCTCGACCCTCGAATCTCAGATCTCGGATCTTGAATCTCGATTCTTGAATTTCGATTCGCGAATCTTGAACCTCGAATCTCGAACCTCGAATCTCTGTTCTCGAATCTCGGATCTCGAATCTCCATTCTCGAATCTGGAATCTCGGGTCCGTTGTCAAGTGCATTCTGAACTTTTGACTGGAACGTCTGAATTTTGGCGAACAACCTCAAGCTCCAGGAGCCACTCAGCCACACCGCCCTGTCTCAAGTAACAAACTGGATGCCAAAGGCATTGAAGTGAGAAAAAGTGTGACAAGGAACAAATTCCCGTACCATCCCCCAGCTCCCTTCCAATTACCCACCTGGGTTGCTATTGTATTTACACTTGACCGGCTGGAGTCTAGAAGATAATGAAACACATCCTTCATGGCACCGCGGCCATCGCCAGCATCTGTCAATGGTCGGCATGTGCTGAGGCTTCTGAAGGCCATTTCCCATGTTTTTTCCATTTTTTCTGGGTATTGCATGTCTATTATCTCGTCAGTATCCCTCTGTCTTCAAAAGAGAACTTGGCACAGCAAACCCAATATGTGGACATTGACTGGCAGTAAACCTGTTCCGTTTTTGTTGCCTTCTTTACCCCGGTCAAGTCTTGTTGGCAAAATTCAGAATTGTTATGGACAGGAGAGGTGTTCATTTGCAAGTGTTACCGGTAAGGCTGCACGACGCGGTGGTGAAAAGGAAGCTGTAGATGTGAAGATGCCGAGACGAACAAATGGCAGGGTACTTAATCTATCTACGAGTACCTATCTAGCTACGAGTACCTATCTATTTATCTGATCTAATATCTCACCTTTCTGATCTATCTCTCAGTCTGATCTACCGACCTAATCTATCTGATCTATCTCAGGATCACAGAGGAAGGGTAGAACCCACCATAAGTCAGACGGTTTGAGTGCATCAGCTGGAACATTCCAAAATTACTCACAAATGGATGAAAATGGGTGTCAATCCAATCTTTCCAAGAATAATAAGCCCACTATAGGCCCAAAAAATGAAGGAGTCCACATCTAAATCCGATTTGTCAGGGTGGTGCGCATCATCCCTGACCCCTGCATATATCCTGAACATATTTCCCAACTTCATTTGGGCGCTCTTTAAACTTTACCAGTAGTACCGCACAAGGCGATGGCGGAAGTTTCAAAAATAGGAAACCTATAGGAAGAACTGGTTGTTGTGACTCACGGATGGCAGAGCGAATCCATTGATGGACCGAACCGAAAGGTGGCTGGAGTTGTGTTTTTGGGAGTGGTTGCAATAGTGGCAGTGGTCACCTCACCACAACTGCTGGATGTAGTGTGGTGTAGTGTAGTTGTAGGTGTAGTTGTAGGTGTAGTTGTAGTTGTAATTGTAGTTGTAAGTTGTAGTTGTAATGTAGTGTAATTAGCGTAGTGTAGTTGCAGTTGCTGTTGTAGTTGTGGTGTGGTGTAATTAGTGTAGTGTACTATAGGGTTGTGCACTGTAGCGTGGCATAGTGTAGTGTAGTCTAGCGTATTGTAGTTGTAGTTGTAGTGTCCTGTAGGCAATCTAGTGGTAGTTGCAGTTGTAGTGTAATGTAATGTATTGTAGTTGTATATGTATTTGTAGCTGTAATGTACTGCAATTTGATTAGCGTATTGTAGTGTAATATAGTGTCGCTGTAATTGTAGTTGTGGCTGTGGTGGTGGTGGTGGTGGTGGCGGTGGTGGTGGTGGTGGTGGTAGTAGTAGTAGTAGTCGTCGTAGTAGTCGTAGTCGTAGTCGTAGTCGTAGTCGTAGTCGTTGTCGTAGTCGTCGTAATAGTAGCAGTAGCAGCAGCAGCAGCAGCAGTAGTAGTAGTGGTAGTGGTGGTGGTGGTAGTAGTAGTAGTAGTGGTAGCAGCAGCGGTAGCGGAAGCAGCAGCAGCAGCGGCAGCAGCAGCAGCAGCGGCAGCAGCAGCAGCAGCAGCAGGAGTAGGAGTAGGAGTAGTAGTAGTAGCAGCAGCAGCAGCAGCAGTAGTAGTAGTGTAATTAGTGGAGTGTAGTGTAATTAGTGTTGTGTAATGAAGCGTGGTATATTTGCACTAGTAGTAGTAGTAGTAGTAGTAGTAGTAGTAGTAGTAGTAGTAGTAGTAGTAGTAGTAGTAGTAGTGGCAGTAGCAGCAGCAGCAGCAGTAGGAGTAGTAGTAGAAGTAGAAGCAGAAGCAGAAGCAGAAGTAGAAGTAGTAGTAGTAGTAGTAGTAGTAGTAGTAGTAGTAGCAGTAGCAGTAGTAGCAGTAGTAGCAGTAGTAGCAGTAGTAGCAGTAGTAGTAGTAGTAGAAGCAGAAGCAGCAGCAGAAGTAGAAGTAGAAGTAGAAGAAGTAGTAGTAGTAGTAGTAGTCGTCGTCGTAGTAGTCGTAGTAGTAGTAGTAGTAGTAGTAGCAGTAGCAGCAGCAGCAGCAGTAGTAGTAGTAGTAGGAGGAGTAGTAGTGTAGTGTAGTGTAGTGTAGTGTAGTGTAGTGTGGTGTGGTGTAGTGTAGTGTAGTGTAGTGTAGTGTAGTGTAGTGGTACTTGTAGTTGCATTTGCAGTTCTAGTTGTCTATCTATCTATCTATCTACCTATCTATCTACCTATCTATCTATCTATCTCTCTCTCATCTGTCTATCTGTCTATCTGTGTATCTGTCTATCTGTCTATCTATCTGTCTGTCTGTCTATCTGGAAGCTTGAAAACGAAGCTATTCTGCGAGACATCCTCAATTCTTGAACTTGACAACATCAAAAACGCAGCAATTCTGGGAGACTTCCTCAATTTTTGAACTTGACAACGTCAAAAACGAAACAATTCTGCGAGATTTCCTCAACTTTCAGAGTTGACAACCCAACAATGAAACAATTCTGCGAGACTTCCTTCAAAAATGGAAAGTTGTGTGCAGAGCTGACGGCCTCGTACCAATGCGTTTAGCGGTTTGTCCACTCCATCTGTCTAAAGTACTGCGCCTGCCACGAAAAAGTGATGCCAGGTCATACGAAGTGCTGCACCTGTCGTGCAAAATCATCTTAGCAAACCGTCAGATCTGATGCTCCAAAATGCAACCCCTCTCAGGAAATCAGCGCCCTGACCTCCTAACATCTCTGATGAACATGTCTCTTGTACTGCGCCTGCCGCGCGAAATGCAACTTTGCAGATCCTCTTCAAATGCCATTGTTTTTGGAAATGCTGCAAAACCCTCACGTTTTTCCCCACTCTTGACTACGTCCACAATCCCTTGCGCCAGCCACGCGAAACGAAATCTGAGCGTCCAAAAGTGGCGCGAACATGTCGTGTTTTATACACACTGACTTCGAAATGTGCTTCGCGCAACGGCGTACACTTTTTGAACATCTCAACTTCCAAAAGTGGTCCGAGCATGGTGTGCTTTGTACATTTTGACTTCAAAATATGCTTCCCGCCACAACAGCGTGCACTTTTTTCAACATCTCAACTTCCAAAAGTGCTCCGAATGTGAAGTGTTTTGATCTTTTTCACTTGCAAATGTGCTTCGCGCCACAACAGCATGCATTTTTTCGACATCTCACCTTCCAAAAGTGCTCCGAACCTGGTGTGTGCTTTATACTTTGGGATCGCCGGGGACTTAGGCACTTAGTAAACGTCGTTATAAGTTATCTATCCTTTGGGCAAGTGATGGCTATGTTAGTTAAGTGATGGCTAAGTGATCAAAACTTAGGTGGCACTTACTATTGACTTAGGTTACTTATAAGTGTAGTGTGTGCTAAGTGTTGGTTACTTAGCGATCACTTAGCGATCACTTAGCTTTTTTTCTCAAAACCTACATAATATGTCGATTGTCTTGGGTAATCTCGCAGGAAAAGTCATGTTGCGCAGCAATTTTGGTTCCAGTCATGGCAGCTGAAAAACAGATAGATGCCGCGCAGAAATTCCTACGTGGAATTCAGTCCCTGGTCTCCTACGCGGAGGTCAGGGACAAGCAGGCTCAAGGGGTGCAAAGATCTTTGCGGAAGGTAGTCTCCTTCACTGCTGCCCAAGGAATGCATTGCCTGCCGCAAGCTCTTAAGCACCTTGGCGTGGCATTTCTCGATGAAAAGGAACAGGGCGCGAGAGTTCCAATGGAGCCGCAGGTCTGCAGAAATGGTGCAGAAGATGTTGCGGCACTGGTGCAAGGAGCACAAAGGAAGGGTGACAGTGAGCTTGCAAGCTGTTGGAGGAGGCGCGCACTTGTCCGCGACCTGACCGCAGCTGAGCGCGAGTGACCGCGGTCTCAGAGAGCCCAGACGACTTGTCCGCGTGATGCTGACCGCGGGTGGAAAAGGTAGGGCCGGTGAGGCTCTGTTTGTCTATGGTTGACCGCAGTGCCCATGTAATGTAATGGGGTAGTAAGTCCGTTTGTCTGCGGATGTCGGCGACATGAACTTGCATGAAATTGCATGATTGGGACCTTGTCCGCGGGCATTGGAGCGTTTCGTTGTGATTTCGCTTCCTTGCATCAGTGTGATCCGGCAGATGTGTGCTACGTGCAGCATTGAAATAATCCATTGCCTTGCACAAGGAGATTCTCTTTCTGTGGTGGTGCACACATTGCAAGCAATGCCCGAGGCATCCATTCTCAAATGGAAGCGCCTCAGCAGAGAAAAGAAAATCATTGCAGCATCCACGCTGCTGCAGCATGAGCCTATGCGATTGCTGCGTGAACACAAAGACGGTCTTTGCCTTCTACGCTGACCCTACAATGGTCGGTAACAAAAAGGTGTGAAAGCGACTTGATGTTAACACACGTACTGATGAAAATTTGCAAAAACCACTCACAAACGAAAACCTTCAAAAAAACATATGAAACACTTAGCTTCACTTAGCGGTCACTTAGCTCACACTTAGCCGGACTTAGCAACCTCAAAACCTAAGTGCCAGCTAAGTGCCTGCTAAGTTCCTAAGTGCCCCGGCGATCCCAAAGTACATTTTGACTTCGACTTGTTCTTCGCGCCACAACGGCGTGCAATTTCAATTTCTCATCTGGCCACATGGCTCCGCGCCCGCCGCTTTAGCGAGCCTACTTTTCGACCCTCCTGAGCCACAAATCATTGGAAAAAACACAGTGTTTCGCGACTTTCCGACCTTTTCGTGCACCTGCATCTTCTTTCTTCTGACTCTTTCTTTTCTTTGATCTTCTCTCTTCTTCTCTTCTCTTCTTTTCTCTGACTCTTCCCATCTCTGCTTTTCATCTGTCCATATTGTCGGAAGTTTGACTTCTAAACTTCCTTCGATGATCTTTATGTTGTCTTGCCGTCTTGCCGTCCCTTCGTGGCCCAGACTTTGGCTCGGTGCAGCTTCAGCTGTCAGCATGGCGCCGCCCCGAGAAGCGAAGCTGGGTGGGGTCAGGGATGAAAAGTCCCAATGACTCATTACCCCTGAGTCAATTGCGGATCATCACTATTGATTGTGGTAAAACAATGTAAAAACATGGTAAAACGAGTCATTTCACTTTCAACGAAATCACTACTTTACATATACTACCAACCTCTGTCCGTATCATTTGGCTCCATGGACCAGGTTATCCGCATTTGTCAGTGGGCAACTTCTCATCACCCAACATGTGTGTCCAAAATGTGTACACATCAAAAATTGCAATTTGCACAGCGAAAACGATGCTAAACAAGTGGGTCTGGGGATGCCCCGTTTCAAAACGAACCCATTCGGTTGTTTCATGTTGTTTCTGTTGGTCTTCATTCACAAGGAATCTAAGGGAGAGCTTAACAACCGCTTGGTTTGGCTAGACTTTAACTAATACTGTCCTTGAAGTCTGCTCGATGTATATCAAAAAGATGCAAACTCTAAGCTGACCGCGATGCTGGCGGTGCTTGAGCCAGCTGCATCAACAGTAGGCTCTGAGGTGGCATCTCCTACCAAGGATGTTTGTTGAGTTGGCTCAATGGTTCGCCTTCGGTTTCTTGCCCAAGCAACAAGTGGATGTTGTGGGATTGCAGTTTCCCTATGGCAATGTGGCAAAGCCATAGCTATGGAAAAGACCAATTGAGTTCGATGAAATGTATATATATATATTATTAACAATCGTGATTCTCTATAGCAAACTGTTGAATTACCAAAGGGCAGCCCGGCAATTGGTCATGCATCAGCTTGGCCCTCGGGCCCAAGGTTATCAAAAGTTCATTTTTTGTCCAAGGTTTTGCTCAGACCCTCATGTTATTGCATGGGTAGCAGTGCTATTCAAAAATATCATATGGCTCTGCATCAAACCCTTGTCACCTTGTTGAAAAGCAAAATGGCAGCACATAAATCTTCAAGCCCCCAATCTTTCGGAAAAACAAAAATCGTTAACCAACCCGAAACAATGAGTAATTAGTCGATATCAAAATGCGGTCTATACAAAGTAATTAATCTAGATCTTGGCAAAACATGATGCAAATAATCGTTACACTCTCTTACTCAAAACCATGCCATAAATGGTTTTTTTGAAGATTCAACGAATACGGACTTTTGTTTTGGTCCATGTGGGCCGTCCTTGGCACACAATATAAACATTATGTAACCTTCAAAATTGCATTTTTTGGGAGGGTCATTTCACTATATTATGCCCTTACACTTCCTGGTCAATGTTACCTATCCTACCCATATGAGCCCACTCCTTCGGGTATTGGCATGGCAGATTTGTGGCTGATAAGTGTACATTTAAGATGGACCGGCAAGAATTGTTTTTTGTTCTTGGTCTGTGTTGCCCTGTAGGAAATAACACTATAACCCCAAATTGTTGCTTGCTGAGGTGTTCCAGTATGAACTACCTCACTGTCAAGGGGAAACATGGGAAACTTCCCAACGCAAACTTTTGCAGGCTGGTCGAAATCAATCGTTGGTCCGACCGCATTCAAAACCGTTGCTGCTGTGCAATGCACGTGGCAATCTATAGCATGTGGTGGCAAGCTGTGATGTGGCAATGTCATGTTGCAACATAATGCAATATTTTTATTGTATACCAATACAACCAATGCAAATTATTGTGCGTTCAATAGAGACAATAAGTCTAGTTGTTTGCCAAAGGCCCTTTAAAAAAATAACAAATCATGTATGATATTCTGTGATCCCCTGTAGGTGCTAGAAGGTCTCCATTGGTGTTGTTTTTCCTTGGGGCAGTGCGGCTGATTCATCAAAACCGTACATGACACCAAACCCGCCAAACTACGAGCTACCCGAATCAAGCAGGCTGCCAACCGTCCCCAAGAAAGGATGTCTGGAAAAATAACAGTTTATTACGCATAATTATTATCCCATATTTATTAAATTCATAATATCCCGGTCCCCATATATCACATATTTACTTTATATCCCCATCAAAATCCGACATCACATGAAATCACCATGAATTTTGCCCCGGCGGAGATGCTCTTACCGCTTCCCCGAAAGCTGCATCCACTGAGCACAACTGAGCGGCCAAATCCACAAAAGAACGAATGCCAGGATGGAGGTTTTTCTGCCTACCAGGATGCTCCAAACCAAACTGGAGCAGTATAGAATTTGCGTTATACGGCAAATATGAAATGAAAGTAAAACTATATACTACATATAATATGTACACTACATATCTGTACATATGTATAATGTAACAAAATGTAATTATATGTGTATATATACATAGATATATCTGCAAAGTACTCATCTGGAGGGTCCAAAGTATGGCAGTTTAGGGATATGAGATTCACCATGCTGACTTTGGGGGACGCCATTGAAAGAGCGGCTCAGCTGAGCATGTCTGCGCTATCTCCTTCAATCACCAGGCTCATTTCTGCCTCTCCCACCTGCAGCTGGATGTTTTTGTTGGCTCTTGCAACATGTCAAGCTGTACAAGGTAGCCCTCGTTATGATATATACGAGCATATATATATATATTATATATATATATGTATATATATATATATATATATTATATATATAAAAAAAAATAGCAACAATAATAGCAACAATAATAACCGAAGGAATTTTAGAAGTCGAACTTCCGACAGTATGCAGGGGTGGGGAGAGTCAGAGAAGAGAAGAGAAGAGAACAGGAGAGGAGAGAAGAGAAGAGAAGAGAAGAGGAGAGGAGAGGAGAGGAGAGAAGAGAAGAGAAGAAGAGAGAAGAAGAGAGAAGAAGAGAGAAGAAGAGAGAAGAAGAGAGAAGATCAAAGAAGATCAAAGAAGATCAAAGAAGATCAAAGAAGATCAAAGAAGATCAAAGAAGATCAAAGAAGATCAAAGAAGATCAAAGAAAAGAAAGTCAGAAGAAAGAAGATGCAGGCGCGCGAAAAGGTAGAAAAGTCACAAAACAATCGGTTTTTCCAATGATTTGTGGCTCCGGAGGGTCGAAAAGTAGGCCAGATGAGAAATTAAAATTGCACGCCTTTGTGGAGCGAAGCACAAGTCGAAGTCAAAATGTACAAAACACACACCAGGTTCGGAGAACTTTTGGAAGGTGAGATGTCGAAAAAGTGCATGCTGTTGTGGCGCGAAGCACATTTGCAAGTGAAAAAGATCAAAACACCTCACATTCGGAGCACTTTTGGAAGTTGAGATGTCGAAAAAGTGCATGCCGTTGTGGCGCGAAGCACATTTGCAAGTGAAAAAGATCAAAGCACCTCACATTCGGAGCACTTTTGGACGTTCGGATGTCGTTTTGCGTGGCATGCACAAGGGATTCTGCATCCTGCCACCTGTGAGCAAAACGCGGGGTCTTGTAAAAACCCCGGGCCCTTTCAAATGTGTTTTCACACGTTATCGTTGTTTTTTCCTTATGGTTCTTCCAAGCGCTGGCTTCACACCTTCACCAAAGAATTCACATGAGCGAGGAAAGGGAAAGGAACACGGAGAGGAAAGGGAGAGGAAAGGGAGAGGAACAGGAAAAAAGGACCGTGTCTCACACGCACCATTTTTGATACAAAAAGTTATCGTTTTCGTTATCGTTTTGTTATCGTTCGTGAATCCTGTGTACGTTCCTTTTTTTCTGGAAATGGCTGCAATCATCAAAAAAAGAGTGTAGCGACTACCCAGGCACCTTCCTTGTGCAGAATCTGACACGCATTTGTTGGCACGCCATTACGGCGACAAACGATGAAATGAAGAAACCAAAAACATTAAATGGCTGCAGAACGACGGAAAATAAAAAACATTGGATTTCAAGAGCCTGGACACAGATCATTAACAGAACCAACGTTCAACGTTATCGTATTTTTCCTCTTATCTTTTCTTCGAGTGAAAGCTAAAAATGGCTCATGGAGGATCATGGAAGACTAAACGAATAGGCGCAGGATTTTTAGAAACTCCCACGTGAGGGTGTTGTAGCAGTTTCAACTACATCCACTCCACTCCACTCCACTCCACGCCACGCCACTCCACTCCACTCCACTCATCCACACTACAGCTACAACTACAACTACAACTACAGCTACACTACGCTACACGCACGCATTACACTACACTACACTACACTCCACTACACTAGACTACTCTACACTACACTACACTACACTCAACTCCACTACAACAACAAGAAGAACTACTACAACTACAACTACAACTGCAACTACAACTACATTACACTACACTGCACTCCACTCCACTCCACTTCACTACACTGCGCACAATTACACTAGACTACACGACAACTACAACTACAACTACAACTACATTACACTACACTACGCTAATCGCATTACACTACACTACGCTAATTACACTACACTACACGAATTACATTACACTACACTACGCTACATTTTGCTACACTACACTACACTAACTATAACTATAACTACAACTGCAACTACATAACACTTCACCACACTACACTACACTGCACTGCAGTACACTACACTAATTACATTACACTACGCTACACCACACCACACTACACGACGCGACGCTACACTACACTGACTACAACTACAGCCACAACTACGCTACTTTACACTACACTACACTTGGACTACAGTACACCACGCTACCCTACATTACATTACACTACACGACACTAATTACACTACACCACAACTACAACTACAGCTGCACTACACCACACTACATCCAGCAGTTGTGGGTGAGGTGACCGACCAGGTGACCACTGCAACCATTGTAACCACTCCAAAATAGACAATTCCAATCACCTTTCAGTCCATCAGTGGATTCGCTTTGCCATCCGTGATTCGCAACAACCAAGCTCTCCTATAGGTTTCCTTTTCTGAAACTTCCACCACCGCCTTGTGCGGTACTACTGGCAATAATAACAATAATGATAATACTAATACAGTACGATACCTGTAGAATGCCAAAACACTTGCCGATGAAGATACAGTACGATATATGTATTATTCTAATGAGATGTATA